TAACCACATCTTCAACCCTCCCTCTTTATCCGGGCTTTGAACTGGTAATAACCCTAGAAAGGTTATGGGCAGAAATTTATCTTTCGGATTATAGAAGAAACCCCAATTGTTTTAATATCACCCATATTATTCTGACTCGGTTATTGTTTTACCTTTATTCGAATTTATATAAAGGATCAGTGGTATGAAATAAAAAGTTATCAGTATAGTACACATCAAATCAATGTTCTGTATGTCATGACATTTCTTATATTAACATTAATATAACATTAGCAAAATGAGAGTTTAATAACAATAAGTTGTGATTAAAAAAGTTTGTTTACCAAGTAGATTCATTTGTCATACACACAAATCAGTCATTGATTTCTTACATTTGATCATATTTAGTATATTTCTTCAGGTTGTTATTTTTGTAAAATTTTAAGTGTTTACGTATGTAAAATGTACTTTTAACAAAATATTGATATTTTATTTATAAAAAAGAAAACTAATTTAAGTTGACAAACCAACTGTTCATATTGAATGATACATCTATAACTGTTACAATCATCTATGAATAGAGAAACATGTAGAATTCTAGTGTAAAACATGTAAAATAGTATTTTAAGTGAACATTTAGATGAAAGATGTTCCATATTTATATATCTCAGTTAAGGTTGAATTAATTTTTTATATATATTTGAAATCATGAGTTAATTGAAGCTAGACCACCATGGGAAACCTGGAAGCACTGGACAGTCGTTTCGTCCTATTATGGGACTCCTTAACAGTGCACATCCACGATCCCGCACTCGCGAGATTCGAACCCAGGACCTACCAGTCTCGCGTCAGAGCACTTAACCGATAGACCACTGAGACGGCCAGTATCTAACAGTGTTAATGTCTAACTTCAACCAATCATTCACCAATGTCTTCACTGAGTTGATATCTCTACAACAGACCTGGTTGAACTCCACCGGTTACTGCCTCTCACTAGAACTCCAGGAAATACCTCATGGAGTCAGTCATTAGTGAGCTTATGATAAGGGGGTCTAGCTTCGATTGACTCGTGATTTCAACTATATATAAAAAAAGTCAAATTAATTTGTTGATAAGGATATTGGAGAACTAATAAACAAAAGAAAAAGAAACATTTCACTTTTCTTATCAGCATATTAATTAGATTTTGATTTAATAAAAGAAACATAAATTATACAAAAAAGAGGGGGGGGAGGGTGAAAGAAGTTCAAGGTACTGAAGTTATAAGTACTTTCACTACATTGAACATGGAAATAGTAACTATTTAAACATAATTATCAAAATGGAAAGAAATCACAAATTCTCAGCAGAGAAACATTTGAATTTCGGGTTGTTATAACAAAAAGGGTTTTTACAACCCGAAAAAATCCAAAAAAACATTCTGACATAAGAAATTTGACAAAAAGTGTCATCACATTAACAGTTATTTGTGACAGTAAAGAATTGGTTGATACTCAGGTCAATCAAATAAAAAATAAATGGAATATTTTATAAAATCTGCTTAATTATGACCTATATAGTTACAATGTTTGGAGCTGGGTTTCATTAAATAGACAAAACAGAGGTAAATGATAAAATCAACTACATATGATCTTTAGAAATGTATGTATAACGATTGGTTTTGATATTCTAACAATTAAAAGCCATCTACTAGCTCTTTCATAACAATAAACCAATGTATCAACACATTTATCACTTCAAAATAAATTCATTTTAAATATGAAAACTTAATGACTAACTTATGTAAGAATCTGTAGATAATGAAAGTAACTATAATATTTAAAGATTTGAAGTATTAGGTCGTCAGATAATAATAATAATAACAAATAGAACTTGTGTTCAGATATATTGAAATGACACAGGAAACAAAAAAGGTAATAAATCATAGGGATGGTTAACACGTGAAATGTTGTTATTTAACTGCTAATGTGTAGAAAAAGATTGAAATTTATTCATTTTTATGAGAGTTAGACGAATTCTGCCTATAACCTTACAACTAATGTTTCAGCTGATAGAACGATAATGGCATATTAAGTACTGATGATAAAACTCCCAATCGGTTACATTAGTCTGATAAATTCACTCCTGTTGATGATCATCAGTCGCTATAGTCATTCAGTTTTGTTTAAATCCTTTAGTAGCTTAACTTTATTCAATACATGCTTTCTGCCATCTGTTTCGCGTTTAATAAAACACCAATGTTCTTGAAATTTGAAATACATATAAAAATAGTAAAGTCTGTATATTTATTATCTCAAAACATTTCTTCTGTTATAAGTTATACAATACCATCAAAGACTTCATTTTCATATGTTCTTTAAAAACGCCAAACAAAATATTAGACAGAGAATAAGAAATGGAAATGGTATTTTTCCAAAAATCTACATTTTATAAAACTATCTTTAACAGAGCAGAAGGATTAAGACTGTTGTATTTGGTGAAATACTTGAAAAACGTCTACTGAAATGTCGAAATTTTATTTGCTAATACACTTTACAAGTAAGTGACTTTGCTGTATAAAAAACCATCTGGAAACTGATATTCAACTTTAAATGAAAAATAAGATAAAATAAAGTATATTCTTAGATTAATACGATGGTTTTAGTAGTAACTAATTTTTGAACTAATCGTGCAATCATGAAGCTTTCGATATTTTGCTGAGCAAAGGTTAAAACTTTTACGACAACCTGACTCATAACTGAGATTTGACTGACTGTTTTAAGTATTAATACCTTTTGGTAGTGAATGATAAATGATACTATTTAACACTAAATGAATTAATGTAATATTCAGCGGTTAAGTTGGACTATATTTTGATTCAACCAACTATAGAGTGTTGTATCCAATAGCCTCAGTCAATTTACATTACATCTTAAGATTTATTTTATTGAAATAGGAGTACAGTTTAGGAGAATTTATGTATGATACGAATAAATCAAATGAGTCGAGTAAAATATATTTACAAAGTCGAAACTTAGCTTTTCTGCAGTTAGCGTCTTAGCACTTTATACAGTAGTCTCGTGTCTATCGACTTTTCATACCTAACCCACCCTTCTTTTCGATACCTTTCATTACCTCAATAAATTTTTGAAGCAGGATATTCGCTGTTGATAACAGAATTAGTGAGATTCTTCTAGAATTATATTAATTGCCGAATGGTGAATAATAATTATGAATCAATTGAAGCTAGACCACCATCGAAAACCTGGAAGCACTGGACGGCCGACCCGTCCTATCATGGGACTCCTCAGCAGTGCACATCCACGATCCCGCACTCGCGAGATTCGAACCCAGGACCTACCGGTCTCGCGCCAGAGCCCCTAACCGATAGACCACTGAACCGACTGGTATCCAACTGTGTTAATGTCTAAATTCAACCAATCCACGATTTTGAGCGACCCTTCACCAGTTGTCTTCAGTGAGTTGATATCTCTACAACAGACTTGGTGGATGCGCACTGCTGAGGAGTTCCATAATAGGACGAAACGGCCGTCCAGTGCTTCCAGGTTTTCGATGGTGGTCTAGCTTCAACTGACTCATGATTTCAACTGTGAAAATACTAAACTCTCCACAAAAACCTCTCTGATGAATAATAATTATCCTAACAAAGCGTGAAATTAAAAGACTTCTATAGTGATTTTACAGGCATGAAATCATCTTAGGTTGAATGGCCTATGTGTTTACCCGGGTAAGAAAAGAGTTTTTAAGTGATGTTTTGTTACTTAACTTTAAAAAGAGATTTGTTCTTAACAACTAGTTAGTAATTTGATTTAATCACAAATAGTCCACTTAGATTCGGTAGTTTGAAGTATCAGATGCACAGATAATCGATAAATCAAATAAGGGAGACGTTGGAGAAGATTCTTAGCTCATGTAGATGATATCATTGCAGCTCTCTGAGTTGGATGGTTTAATCGTGGACATTTCATAATTCTTCTGAACAACATCGTCAGCACAAACTTCAGATAAAAGTGCAGTATTCTAATTGTTTTACATACGACAAAAATCTTGTCTTGTCGGCGTTATTTGGTTATTGCTAACATTTATCATGTCATTGTCAGAATGTTCGTTTTGGCTGTCTCCCCCTTTGATCTCATTCTCGATCCTATATTTGTTCATGATTTTTCAAACTGGGTGATAAATTGGGTTGATTTTTAAATGTTTATTGATTACTGAGTGATATGAGTCCCAAGTTTATAAAACTTCATCCTTGTACTCCCTCTATCTAAAATCATAATATCTTCCCAGTCAAATGTGTGTCCGTGACTGTCCACATGCAGTGATATAAACAAAGATACATCTCGACATTTGAAATACATTTAACGTTTATGTAGAGGATGATAAAGAGGGCACCAATTTTCCCGAGGCAGTGTCTCTCAGTTGGAAGCGTTTATTTTGAAGGTGATGTTTGACTTTCATTATTTTGTAATTGCATCCCTTGGTTTGCATTAGATCTATGGAAATATTTTTTTAGTTTATGCGCTATAATTATTTCAAATGTCCCTGATACTCTTACTGTAATTCCCGATATGTTTATACATATGATAGGATGATCCGTTTGATGGTTTCTACCTTGATTTCGTTTTTATTGATGAATTTAAACGGTATTTCTTGATGAAATTATGTGGATAGGCTTTCTTTCGATTAATGGTCATCAAATAGTTAGGTGTTTAGTCATGATATTTATAAACAATGATTTTCACTGAAAAATGAATTCCTGATTTTGATTAGTTATCCAGCTGGTCAATTAGTAAAGTAAGTTAGCAAATTAAATTGAAGTGACCAGTTACTTTAACTGGTGTCATTTTAGAACTAGTACTTTGGTGAACAGAACGCAGGTGGGGACAATCAAATTCATTTGAACACAAAATTACAGAATATCTCACTAAAATGTGAGAACCATATAGTAGATAGTTAATTTGCAAATTATTAATCAGTTGACTCAATCTTGACCGTTCCTTCTGTAAATATCGGTTCATCGTCTCCGATTATTATTGTTCATGCATATTCATACCAACTGCGCTTCGTTCCCGTTCTTTCCTTGTGGATCTTCCACTGAAATACATTCAATGCCGTGCCATCGTAATATACTACTTATGTGGATGCAAGTAACCCACATCACAGTACCTCCGCTCCTCAACTGTATTGAAAAAATACCACTGTCAATTTTATATTAAAATTGAAATCTCCAATGAAATATTTTGTTGAAGCTGTTATCATAAATAAACAATAATGAGAAAAGTGTAAATGATCTCATTAATAAGATCAAAAACTAATTTATGATATAAAGCATTCGCGTTACAAACGATTCATTTGATTGAACAAATAATTCACTCTAATGAAAGTTGAATTTATTATCTAATTAGTCCAATATTTCACTACAGAACTTCGTAATTAAATTAACCGTTTATCGGTTTTTTGAGAGATAGTATTTACCTTCATAATTAAGAATGTATGCCTAAAAATATGCAAACCAATTTGTTTAGGGATTCAATAACTGGTTTATGAATTTAAAACAAACTGTCGGAGTTTAACTGAGACTAATAAACTGTAATTCAGTGATTCGTATATCCGAATTTTAATCATAGAACGATAGTTTTAAAATTATTCATGGTTATTTTGTTGATTTGAACCAAGTAGGTAATGTAAACATTATACAAACAATTTTATGAATTTAACACATGAATGTATACATTGACCATCGACTTACATCATTCATATTTATCATGCAATGTGTTTTGGGGTCATATGGTGTTATGATTACATCATATATGCTCATAATATAAATGATTTATTTTGTTCTAAATAACCGGTAGGTTCAATAGACAATAGATAAGATTATGATACTGTTATCTTCCATGTAGTATTAACAAATTATAAATGATAATTTACTTAGTTACGCTTGTTACTCCCAATAGAACATAGGCCGCCGATCAACACTCTCCAATCCACTCTGTCCTGGGCCTTCCTTTCTAGTTTTATCCGGTTGTTGCTCATTCTTCTCATATCTGTCTCCATTTCTCAGCGTAATGTGTTCTTTAGTCTTCCTCTTCTCATTTGACCTTCAGGATTCCATGTGAGGACTTGCCTTGTGACGAAGTTGGCTGCTTTCCTCAATATGTGTCACATTCACTTCCAGCGCTTCTTCTTGATTTCTTCCTCAGCTGGAGTCAGGTTTGTTCTCTTCACAGTGGATTGTTGCTGATAGTGTTTGGCCAGCGCATCCGAAGTATTTTGCGTTGACAACTGTTAATAAACACTTGTATCTTCTGGAAGATGGTCTTCGTAGTTCTCCATGTCTCCGCCCCATACAGTAGAACTGTCTTGACATTTGTATTGAAAATTCTAACCTTGGTGTTGGTTGACAGTTCTTTTGAAATCCAGATGTTCTTTAGTTGTAAATATGTTGCTCTTGCTTTGCCGATCCGCGTCTTCACATCTGCATCAGACCCATCGTGTTCATCAATGATGCTGCCCAGATATGTAAAGGTTTTCACATCCCCCAAAGCTTCTCCGTGAAGTGTAATTCGATTGATGCATGCTGTGTTGTATCGCAGAATCTTGCATTTTCCTTTGTGTATATTGAGACCTACTGCTGCTGAGGCTGCATAAATGATAACTAATAAGTAAAAAAAAAGTTTACCACATACTACCGTACATTTTTAGTTTTATGAATAAAGAAATATTGTAGAAATAATGTAATACAATTTATATTGATTCTCATTAATTTAAAACATATATTTCAGGCTTATTAGATAAATATTCACTTTGACCTTTTCACATAAAAAGAATGAATAACAGTTGACAACAAATGGAAATAAGTGCCCAGGATGGAGTTGGTTGAAGAATCCTGGTCGGTACCTTATGCTCCCACGAAGGCTAGCAGGTATAAACAAGTAAGTTGATGTTTTCATTTATAATTCCCACTTATTTAATAGTTTTTTATCATCACTGATTACATGTAGGGTAGCGTTAAAGCCATTGTAATTACTTACTGAGTGTTTATTTAGTCTGTTAATGGACTTTAGATATATGAATAAACACAGTTAAGATCGATGTGTATTTACATAATCGCTGAATTGTCACGTTTCAACATACAAATACTCAGAGATATTATAGCAACCCACATACAATTGAGTTTGTTTACATCTAATTCAGCTAAGCCCTTTTGTTAACTTATTTAATGAACAGTTGTGGTGTGGTCTACTTATATCCATATAAGTAGTATATGGTGTGGGTCAGACATAGAATGTATTTTGGCAGAAGACCGATGAGTAAAGAACTGAAATGAAGCGCAATCGTCTGGAAAATGCATGAGCAATGGAATAAGAGAAGAAACAGTGAAGATTGAAACAATTGGTTGTTAATTTGCAAATTGACTGTTCATTGTTTGGTTATCAGAATTTACTGAGATAGTCTGTAATGTTTGATTAAATACATTCGATTGTCCCCAGTCGTGTTCTGCTCACTACACAGTCATTCATACAATAACAATCTATCTATACCATTGTACTTTACTTATATGCGCTTGAACATTGCATGTTGCCTACGCATGTGTTCATTCCGCTAACCTTATTATTAATCGCTTAATTGATCCGATGATTCATGCTTTTCCACTTATATATATGTACATCTTAATCCTGTCTACTGCTCTGCTCCGCTCTGTACTTCGCTACACCGTATTGTACACGCTTACTCACTCATTTGACTCTCACGCTCACTCGCCTGCTTTACGGCACTGCTCTTTCATGCTTGCTTAACGTGCCTGTAATATTGGATAACTGTTTGTAGTTCAATAATAAACGCAATCAACCCTTCGTCTTCACTTTCTTTATACACCGTTAGGACGTTATCGAGTAACAGTTATCAAGATGAACAATATACAAGGTTTAGGGATAATATCGAATATCGACCACCACAGAATTGGAGGCCTCGCCGAGCGATCACAAAACAATTTTCGACGATATAATCTAATTACGAAAATTCAAAGAGCTGCGTCTCAAATCGGATTATTATTTGTATCATAATCATAATTGTGGATTCATTACATCACAATTTTAATTACACGTACATTAACTCACAAACATTGAACTTAACGATTATATTCATAATAAATAACGATCGTCCACAAACAATTGATATATTGGTGCAATTTAGTAAGTCTGTGCCATTTTATAAATTGTACCATTTATTATTATCATTGTTTTTGTTCGTCCATTTTTCTTTGTGACATTTACATCATATTTGTGTACTACTAAAAATTTTTTTGTAAGCATGCCTTCCGAAAATACTATGTCAAGTGTACAGCAAACTTCGTCCGTGAGAACTCTTAACCTTCCAGTCCCCTCTTTTAAGGTCACCGACCCGCGGCTGTGGTTCATTAGATTCGAAAACTATTTTCTGGCTAATCGTATTAACTTACAAAGAGATAAATTCGGCCTCACAAGCACACTCCTCCCAGACGAAGTAGCAGAAAGCGTACGAGAGGCGTTATCTAAACCGGACACTGAAAGGGCTTAGCCGAATTAGATGTAAACAAACTCAATTGTATGTGAGTTGCTATAATATATTCCGAGTTATAGAGCGTGTTAAATTACTATTTTAACTATGTTCTACTATGAAAGCTCAACAACACAAGGATACGATATATATATATCATAGTAAAAGAAGCTGAATCAACATGTGACTCAAAAGGATAAGCAAACTTCGGTGACCAAGCTTTTTTGAAACATGATGAATAAACTAATGGGAAGATTAGGGAAACGATACGGTTTTAGTTACTCATTCTTTAAACATTATAATTTGTTTTACATCCTAAGATTGAGGTTGACATCCACTTCAGAACAGTACTAATAGTGTTTTAGATGAATTTGATAAGATGACGAATAGTTAATCAGTAGTGAAAAACTCATTAAACTATTTAAACACGCATACTTCCGTTAGTTTCACCAAACTGTGTTATATGCCGGACACTTTTAATTAGAGTAATTTTGTACATAGTTATAGGTTTTATTTTAATGATCGATCAATCTGCTAGTCGTTCGTATTCTAATTAGTATAATAGATTGTCAAAATAATTTAGTCGTTTTCCTTTTTTCGAAGTAATGATTTTTGTATTATCATTACTAAATGATTATATACCTAATAAATACAGGAAATATAAAGTGTCTTATTTGAACCGTATATATGTTAATAAGTGACTTCGCAAATGCTAACTGCTTTTATGTAAAAGGTAAAACAATATTTGTAGTATACTTTGATTTTACAAACTAGATACAAAGATATTTGTAATCTGCGTGAAAGCTTTTCTTTCATTATGAGATTATCAATAAAAATATTATTTATCCAATGATAATTGGAGAAACAATGTAAACTATAAAACATTAACCCATTGTTTCGTATAATCTGAGACAACTCAACAGCACTCACTCATAACGTCGTACACTGTTAAGCCTAAGTTGTTTTTAAAAGCGTTGTTGTTCTTGTAACCTTTAGACTATCAATTAGCGATAGGGAATTAGTTAATTTATCAAAGATACCAGAACGTTCTTTTATAGACACGTTGTGTTTAAACAAAATTGCTTTATTTTATAAATTGATTTCCATCAGAGATAAATGATTCGCAATTATTTAGCTAGTTTATTGCCAAAGACTAGTTTCAAAAGTATTTCAAAGATTTCGGAGAATCAAAGAATTATACTAAGAGGAAGTGTGTTTCACTGCTTTACTAGCCAACGTTGGTATGCCGCAAATAGTTGTTCCACTTTCTTTCCATTCCTTTTTCCTTCATGATCTGTTATCTATGGAGAATACTTGTTAGATAGACAAAATACTTTACTATCTGTACATTAGTTTCTTCCTTTAGCCCTCAAATAACCTGGTACAGACGAGGTTGGGGAGGCTTAACTCTCTCTCTCGAAATGCACCACCATGGCAACGCGTATACAGCCACTGACAGGGAAGTCTTACTCACTTCCTTCTCGCAGTAGGGGTGCTGTCTACGAAATTGAAAGGATAAAAAGCGAATGTCCTGCACTTTAACAGGGTTAGTGAATATAGGGGATTCACCTAGATGACTTGGAAAAACCCGATTCCAAACCGATTGTGCACATGGGTGTTAGGATCCAGTGGTAATAAATGTCGTATGAAACTATTGTTGGTCACCAACTATCATGGTACTACATCCCTTAACGTTGCTCCACTGCCTTAC